TTAAAAAAATAACTGTAGTAAGAAAAACAAATGAAAAATGCGAACTAATGTAACGTCGTATGGTGAGTTTTTGTTCGTATCGTGGAGCAAAAATATGTTCGAATTTCATGTCGTATCCTGAAAATTTCGTATGCTGGGGCGTTCGTAACCTGAGGTACCACTGTACTTTTATAATTTGATGTTTTCATTTGAGTTAGATTATCTATTATCTTATATTTTGAATTTCATTATAAATATAATATTGAAGACATAAAATAAATTCTATAATACTTATTATTTACATTAGTGTTAATTTTATTTGTAGGTCGTCCAAAACGTTCAGCAGATTTAGGAGTGTTAACATTTACTGTTGTTACTTTAGGATATTGGTAATTATGATTTTAATTAGATGATAATTCATTATTAACTAAAATTGAACATTTTTAATGAGACAAATATGTTGTTTCTTGCTCATTAAAAATTTCTGGGGTTCTCCTGTTCTGATTCAATCCCATATCTTAACAGTAGCATGCTGATGCTTTAAAGCCTTAATTGTTTCAGCTATCCAGCTGACAAAATTTTACTCCAGTAGGAATGTAACTTAAGCAGGGATATTTAAAACAGAAAATACTTTAAACCACTGAAGAGCTTTGTTTATCAAAGTAGAGACACAGTATAACAGATTTTCTTTAATTACGGTGAATAATGTTTTAGCTCTTACACTACTAGTTATAAAGAAAATGATTGAAATCTTAATATTCCAAGTAATTTATAACTGTTTTGATAAATTATTTTTACCATTAATGTTTCAAATTATTTTAACAAACAATTAATTAATGTTAAAATTTAGATTAGAAACTTAGAAATATGGATTTAAGTGCAGTAAGACCTCGCTTAATGCTGATTCGATATAATGCGGTCTGCTTGAAGCCTAAAAAAACTCAAAATTTATGCTGATTTAAATTATCACGGCATTTCATTGATTCATATATAATATGATTATTTGCAAACACAAACCAATCAGCAAAAGGTGGCAAAAAGAGATGTACTTTCTTTAAATCTATGTTTGTTTCGTGCAGTTTTGGAAAAAATATAACATCATGGATACCATAGGAAATATTGACTTTGCTTGGCAAGAATTAACTGATAAATGTGCAAACAAAGTGTGGAAGAAGTTATGGTTGAAGGTATCCAAGAATTCTCAATGAGAAGAGCCTATCACTGTATCATTAGGTTGACCAAATTCAACCTAATTGATATAGCAGGACTAGGATATATAGACGAGCAGGATATTGAGGAGTTACTGCAGGTTTCTGGTGACAGCCTTACCAACGATGACCTTCGAGAACTGGCAGAACATGGAATTCATGTGGAACTGGAAAATAGAGATTCTGAAAATGAAGAACCCAACAAATTTCTCTATAGATTTCCTTAGGAAAAGTTTGGTAAGATAATCGAAATTGTTGATCAAATTGTAGCAAATGATCTAGATTTTGAAAGGAGTGCAAAAGCAAAATGAAGCGTTTTGGATGCGATCTTCTGCTATCAGCATTTGCTTAAGGAAAGAAAAAAGTGACAAATGAAACTTCACAATTTTATTGCAAAAGAACAAGAATTTCAGAAAAGTCAGGACCGTCATCACAAAAAATGAACTTTACATTTCTCTGTGCATATGTTTGTGTTATTTAACACATATTATTATACAAATTAATATAAAAATAACTTAAAATTAAAGTAAAATTTGTTTGTTTGGTCGCATGTTTCCCTATCTCTATTTACTATGGGTTAAAATGAACTCATTTAATGCTGTTTTGCTTAGCGCTTTGTTGTCTAGGAATGCATTCCCCGCGTTAAGTGATGTCTTACTGTATTTGAGAAATTAGATGAAAAATAGAAAGATGTTTTTTGAGATAATATTAATGCTAATTAAAAAAATTAAGTTTTATTCTGAACTCCTTTTTCAAAANTATATTGATTTATTTATATATTTAGTAATGTTTACCTATGTTAATCAAAGTGTATGAATTGGGAGAAAAATAATAGTTTCTAAAACAAAACTAAAATTTTCACAAATTAAGGATAACCAACTATTTATTGTGTTAACAATTTTTACAACTAACAAATTTTCAAATTTAATAATTAATTTATACATTGTATATACTGACAGAATTTTGGTTTACAGATTTTCTAAATTTAAAAAGTAAGAAAAGTTTGATTTAACTGTTTGGTTAAAAATAAAAAGAAAAAACTTTGGTTTATCAATTTTAAAACTTTACATATTTAATATTCTGATCATGGTCCCCACATGATAGTGACTAACTGGACCCTAGTCAGGGGATCCAGTATGAAGATGGCCAGCTTGTATTTTTTTCTTTGCTTGGATTTTCGTGTGGAATATTGAGTTCAATTTAATTGGAGTATTTAATTCTTGACATATATTAAGTTAATAATAGTCGCTTAAAATATTAATTAAACTAACAATCATAAAAGTATAAAAATTACCTTTCTGAGTAACAAGGAAAGCTGAAAAAATTTTTATCAGAATTTTTCTGTTTACAATTGAAGAGCTTATTTTCAAACTGACATATCTCCATTTTTTTTTTTCTTTTTACTTCATGGCACCAATATATTAATAATAGGCTTCTCTATAGTGCTACAATATTTTTTTATCCTAAATGGGTGTTTCTTCTGTTGAAAAAATATATCAAAAAATTGGTTTTCTTTTCAAATATTCCTGATCTGGGGGCCCAGCTGTAGGATGTGGACCCCCATTCTTCTTTTCATTTGTTTAATCATTTTGGAATATAATTCATGAAATAGATGTTAGTGTGATCCAAAATGATTAATGATATTAAATAAAACAATTTTTTAAAATATTTCTAATAATATAAAGTCTTTTAAAGGTAAAACCACATTGCACATATACATTACATAATCATACGAAACTCAAAACTGCTAAAATAATCATGATCTTTGTTCTGATTAAGTCATGTTTTGAAGGATTTTATTCATCTGTAGCTAGTTAATATTTTGAATTTACATTTCTTTTGTGAATCATTAAATATTTTTTCGTTATTGAAATTTTTATGGTATTTATTCCAAGAAATCTTGTAAAACAGTAATTTAGAGTTTTTAAATAAAAATGTAATTTAAACTGATGATATTGATATAATTTCAAATATTTTATGTTGGCTTCTGTTTAAAGCATATAATTACAGAATAAAAATAATTTCATATTTAATTGTTGATATAGCTTCCAAGATCAATATAGATTATAAATCTTTAATAATAGCTAATGATTTTGAGTTTTTCAAAAGTATAAAAATAGCTAAAATGTACCTTTTATAGATTTATATAATAATAAAAGTTTCTTTCAATGAAGCAAAATTAAAATTGTTAACCTTTACTAACAAAATAATTTTTAAATTATAGGTTTTTCTGTAGATATGATTATTCAAAGAAAAGATTTCAAATGGCTCAACTAAAAAAAGGACTTCAAACTTCTGTTTTATTAGAAGGAACAGAAAAAGATTTTCTACATAGTGACAAAAATCAAAAATAATTTTTATTCTTCATGTGTATGTTTAATAAAAATTTATTTATTTTGTAGAATATTATGCTTATATAAAATTTTTCACAGCTAATACAGTATGATCTTTTTTATATTCATATTTATGCCAACACATCTTAAGCTTTTTGCCTCTATACTCAACAACAAAATTACAAAAACTTTTTGCTTCCAGTCAAGTTCCATCTTTGATCACAAATAGTAAAAAATTATTACTACTGTAATTTCACAAAATTTATTTATAATGTTATTTTATCTTTGTAAAACAAAGCAGAATTGATTTTATTCTTAAAAATGTTTGAATAAAGTTTGTATGTAGGACAAAATTATGGAAACTTTTAAAAAAAAAATTTTAAAAGGCAAATTAATACTTTGTCCAGCTTTCCTCAGCTGAGACAAGTGCAACTGTATCTTGTGGCATGGTTTCAATTAAAGCATTACACTTTTGTAATGTTTAACCATGCTTCTTCCATAGCAGTTTTCAATGATGCAACATGTGGCTTTGCTTCTGTCACTTTTTTCTTCATTTTAACTTTTAACTCATGGCATTCATATTAGGATTATATCCTGACCAATATAATAGTAGAATTGACTACAAACTGATGTTTGGTTGAACCGGCTAAATTGCATTGTACTCTATCCCACTGATAAAGTTCAAAATTTTCCCTATCTTTCACTCCTAAAATTGATCAGTGGGAATTAAATGATCTAATATTTTAATGTAGCTAGTCAAATTCAAAGTGTTTTCAGTCAAACAAATACTTCCAACACCATTAGTGAAGATTGTTATATATGCTGTAAAGTACTATATTATTTTTCCGACTTTTCCAATGATTATCGACACGACTGTGTGCCGGAAATAGCCGTTCCCTAACGGATACTTTACGCGGATTTGTGTTAATGTGCCAGGCCTGTACTTTAAGCGTGCACCGAATTAAATAATGACCAAGTTTGTCAAAAACAATCCAATATTTAATAAAATTTCTAGTAATAACTATATACAAAATTTAGTAAAAATCAAATAACAATTTATTCAATGTAAATCAATAAGAATTAACCCGACAAAACTCAATCAATTTTCTAACTTAACTCTATTCCCCTTTGGAATTCGACAAAATTCAAAGACTTAACTTATGTACAATAATTCTTATAAATTAAAGGTCCTAATCGTCACCTCAATATACTAGGAACCTTTTTCCTCAACTCTCAAGACTTTCTCTAATCTTCGATCCACAAATCGAATAACTTCAAAATCGCCTTGGAATTACTTTATCCTATCGGACACCTCTCTCTCGTTTACTGCTACGAAGCTCACCACGATCGTTGCTAACAAGCTCACCTTGACCATCTTCACTTGAGGTTCGGTCTTTATACTGTGAGGTGATGTCACAATTCTGAGAGCGATCACTCCCCTCATTTACATACTTATTTGCTAACAAACTTTTTTCTGTTTGTCTGGCAGCCTATTTTCCGACAATACTTGCTAACCTTTTACATTATTCTTTTTGACAATTTTTGGGATGTTTTATTCTTTTAAGGGTTTAGCAAGTTTCCTAAGTTGTGCTTGTGGGGTCTCCCCCTTTTTCTCGGTGCGGACTTACTTTTCTCCACTCGGGAGTGCAAGTGTGCGCAATTTTTAACTACAGCGCTTTTCTCTCTTCGGTAAGTTGGTTTCTCTTCTATTTTTAAGTTTCTAAGGTGAATGGTGAGGAAACCTTCATCCTAACAAAACATAAGCCCCAAACAAAAATAGAATAAAAGCAAAAATAAAAGTAACTAAAAATAACGCTCGGACTTGGTTCCTTACAATGCTTTGATACTTCCAACACCATTAGTGAAGATTGTTATATATGCTTTGATACTAGCTATGAACTTGCCTTCTGACTTATAAAAGCTGCATAATATTTTTCATATGGACAGCAAATAACTCCTACAAGCATTTCACTTCTGACTTGCAAAATTAATTTTGAAATGTTCTTATTTGTTAGTCAATTCAAAATAATTTGGAACTGAAATATTTACATGATTAACACTTATTATAAACATTTAATAAAGCATAAACAATCTAGTATTTTTTAAAATCATAAACAATGTTCTTGTATTGTAGATGTAACCAGTTGAAAGCATATGGACCATTGTACAATAAGACCTCGTTTAGCACTTAGGATGTCTTCCCAGACAACAAAGAGTTAAACAAGATCATTTTAACCCATAGTAAATAGGGAAAGGGAAACATGCAACCAAAAATAAACAAACTTTTACTTTAATTTTAAGTTATTTTTATATTAATTTGCATAATAATATGTTACATAACACAAACATATGCGCACAGAAATATAAAATTCATTTTTTGTGATGAAGGTTCTGGCTCTTCTAAAATTCTTGATATTTTTGCAATGAAGTCATCTAGTGTCATTTGTCCCTTTCTTTTTCTTTTGTTAAGCAAATGTCACTAGCAGATCACAGCAGGATTTTCCGAACAACCCTAGTCCCCAATTGATTCGGATAATCGACGCTCTACTGTATTAGACAACATGCATGCTTGCTTGAATAAACAAATATCAAGTAACTATCTTTGCATAGGGATGTCTCCAATTCTCGAACAGTATTATAAAAGTGTCGTTTTGTACAAAGGATCATTTTCTTAATAGTAATTTCATAATTACTTATATTTTATGAAAACTATTGTGAAATAAAAAGTGAAGATAGTTGTAGCAATAACATCAAGTATTCTTAGGCCATGATTATTCTGAATTATTCAATTATTTATTAGTTCAAGCAATTTATAAAAAATTAGAAATATACTAAATATAAAAAATTAGAATCAAATATAAATTAATATTTGATTCTAATTTTTAATAATATTTGATTCTAATTTTTCAATCAAATATTAACTTTGTTCAAAGTTAATATTTGATTGATCTTGTCCTGGTTGTGTTACGTAAATTTGATGAGAGTGGATTTACTTTTGCTGTCAACTACACTTTTCGTTTGCATAGGAACATCAACTTTTAATGATCTTTCTTAGAATAAGAATAATCAGTTAAATAAATGTTAATTAATATAGTTTATAGTATCAATGACATTGCATTGTCTAAACATGTGGTACACACTGCTCAATAGCACAGGTGGAAACTTTAGCTATTTATATGAGCTTAATTCACATTAGATGTAGGAAGGACAACAAACAATACTTACACTATCATGTTTATTCTGACAGTAGGGTAGCTTTACACAGGATTGCAGTCTGATAGCCATTTAAAACTCATCCATCTCATACACCACATTCTCAGACATTTAGACAACAATATTAGAATAGATTTCCAATGGGTCCCATTGGAAATCTCATTGACCCAGTTCTCGGCAAAGAGACTGCTGACCATCTTGCCAACTGCAAAAACAAGCTGCAAAATCTTCAGTCACTAGTACTTTCAGTATATTCCTATCTCATACATCAACAATCATGTCAAGAAGCAAGTCTTCATTCTCTGGCAAGACAGATGGGACCGTGACACTACTGGTAGGCTCACCTATAGTTTCATCCCGAAGATTGACACTACTGCAATTCTTTGCCACTTTTATCCTAGTTACACCCTGACTCAGCTACTTACAGGACACAACAACTTTAAGCAATACTTGCATAGATTTAACCTTGGGGACAATCCACATGTGATTGTGGTATTCAGGAGGACCAAACACCACTTCACTTATTTTTTTTGCTACTGCAATAGGTACAGTACAATCACATTAGGGATAGCTTAATGAAAGCTACTATTCTTGAAGGGTACAACTGGCCTTGCAGCCTGCACCAACTCATTCACACATGTACAATGTTCCATCATCTACTCGCATTCATATCCCTTAGTGGGGCTCTTCAGAGCAATCACTCCAGGGGCACAGATGGCAATTATCTTTCCCTTGCTTTGTTTCAACTGTCAGTATATAGCTGCCTTTTAACTTTGAAAAAAGACAGAAAATAAGAATTAAAATATTCTAAATTCAGTTAGTCCTAGTTGTAAGTTAGATTAGGGACTCTTAGCTTGGTTTCTGGTTAAATTAGATTAGGGTTTGTTAGCTTTATTCGTCTGGTTAAGTTCATCCTAAGGTATAGTTAGTTAATATTTCATAAAAAATAAAATAAAATAAAAAATTTGGGGTCTTGCTCGTGTATGTTGGTCCGGTCATGTGTTCATTTGCTTTTTGCACTAGCTGTTTAGTAATAAGATTTGCACTAGTGTTCAGTTTTATTAGTATTAAGTAGATATGTCTTCCTACTAACAGCCATTTGGCACTAACTTCTACACTTAGCTATTCGTGGCAGCACTCAATTATTGGTGTTCGCTACACTCAGGTATTCTTTTAGACCCTTCGGGGACTATGGCCTTGCACCGTAAAAACTGCACACCAACATCAACATAGAGGGTACTGTAGCCATATGTAAGCCATTCAGCAGGATCCTACCTTTCTCTACTGTCTATCTCCTCTCCCTCTTTCTTCTCCTGCCCTTACCCTCTGTCTACCAACTAAACATTTTGTGTACTGCTGATGTCTTTATATATGTATAAACACGTGAAAGTGTAGAATTAGTAATAATTTATATTAAAAAAAAAAAAATTGAAATTTTAACATTTGTTATAGCAATTCTAACTTTTTGTAACAACATTTAGAATGAACAATTTTTAAGTAGCATTAATCTAGTTCTAAAAAGAAAAATGATTCTGATTACTATTAATATAAAAGCAGTGATTGATGATTTGAATTTGTCTGAATTGAAAATATTCAAAAGCAGAACAATTATCACTTGAAACAATACATCCTCAATCTTACACTACTGCNTTAGTAGATATATATATATATATATATATACAGATTTTTTTTTTTACATTTGTTTACTTATTCTAATAATTTATAGTAATTACTTATGTCAGTATTTTTTCAATGCATGAGATTTCAACTAGCAACTAAAATTAAACATATCAAACACACCAAAATTTTAAAATTTAAATGTGTATTTATTGAATTTTTTTTCATTAATTTTAAAAGTGTAAACTATCACACAGTTACAGCAGTGATCATTTCACAGTTTACCATATTTAAATATAATACACATTACATAATAAAATTTTCAATATTAACTTTTTACATTTTACAAACTGAAGTAGGCTATTTTAACAAATTGACACTTTTCTTTCATTTAAATAAAAATTGACCAAATCCACAAATTAAATAGTTTTTAAGACATTCATACAAGTATAAATTCAAAATTACATTTGTACCACAATTTTATTTTCTTTTAATTCCAAATATTCAACAACAGGAACTATGTTGTTAACAATCTACAGTTTTAACAGAACCAGCTATTTGTACTAACATTGGAAATGTATAATAGTTTTATTTTTGAATTTGTTTTTTTATGTATCAAAAAGTGTATTATTAATAATTGAATTCTGTTGTTATTTTCTTGAATTAATTCAAATTTGAAAATCAATAATATAAAAAAATTAATTATGAAATTCATTAATATGTTTCTTTGTATATAAAGTGCATAACTTTAACAATATTAAAGAAATATATTAAATATTTTATTGGAATTAATCTTGCAGATAACAAATGCTTAACTTTGGTACTTCGGTATGCCGATTAATACAAATATGGTTATTGGACGTTTGAATATAAAAC